CACAGCTTGTGCTCAGGGGACTCAGGTTGAAGATGCCCCCTAAATCTGCTTATTGCACCTCATGGCCCTGGCAGTCCCTGCACATTTGGCTCCAGACTGGGGTTGTGTCTGGCTGTGCCCCTTGCCTACTTGTACCTCCCGTTGGCAGCCGTGGCACTGGAGCATGGGGCATTGCTGAAGCAAGGCTGTTCCCAAGCACTGTGTGATGACCAGGGCCATGCAGGGCTTTTGCCTGCATGGTGGTGGGCACAGTGGCGATGAGGGCATGGGGCTGTGGGGGGGACGCAGCTGCCCTGCTGGGGCATGCCAGCATGGGCCGGGCTGCGTCTGGGCTACTGACGCCCTGCGGCATCTTCAACCACACCAGAAGCTGGGTAGTCCTGAGTCGGGTCTGATGTGGAACACTGCAATTAGTGCAAAAATTCAGCTGATTTCTTCTCTTAGGAAGCTCAAGGGGAAAATGGTTATTGTCTGTTTGCCACCTTGGGCAGCGAGCTTCCATTTCTTCTGAGGTTTGATTTTCCTGCCTCTGATTCAGCTCTGCCTGCGATTCTCTCTGCCAGCAAAGGCTTTCAGCTTACCGTTTGCTTGGCCCTGGCTTTGCCCTTGAGCAGTGGCAGAAGTTGAGCCTTTGGCTGGCAGCATGGTTTCTGCTGGAACAAGGTTGCGCTGTCAGGTTTCCTCTGGGCTTGTGCCTGCCCTTCTATCTGTCCCCTGCTAATATGGGCTGAGTTAATCAGACATCTTGAGCCCAACCTGACTGAAGGCAGTGAAGGGCAAAATAAGAAGTGCCCATATAGGAAAGGAACAGGAAGTCAGGAAGGAGATGGTGTTGTGCCCCACGAGGATCCCGACTGGATTTGGAAGTGCAAACCCTTGGGGATTGTGGCAGCACTGGCTTTGCTGCTCGCGCAGCTGCTTCTGGCTGTGCTCGCGTCGCTGAGCTCAGCCCTGATGCCATGCATTTACCTCTCATTTCAGCAGGTGCCCACAGTCTTTGCTCTGTGCCCTTGGGAACACTGCTCCAAAAGCAGGAGGTCCCTTGCCTGCAGCAGCACAGCTCTCCCTCTCTGCCCAGCGCAGAATCAGGCAGTTGGCATATTCTAGAGGCCTTGACACAGATCCCCAACACATCTGCAAACCAGTGGGCCAAGAGGAGCTGGCTCTTTGCAGTGACCTTTGCTGTCACAAGCCCCCCCCTTAACAGCCCTTTCATCTGTCATTTTTGTCTTTTGCACAGATGCAGTAACCAGAGATTAGGCTGCAGATTAAGGTTTTACTGAATCCTGAAATGGGTTCCAGTTCCCAGTCCCAGCAGGACCAACGTGCAGCTCAATCTCCTCTGTAAGCTTGCTGGGCTGGAGCTGGGGAGCGGCATCTCCCACCACTTTCTCCCATGTGTGTGAAAGATGGAGTCCTGATATTCACCTGGGGTGCTCTGCTGAGAGGCAGCTGCCAGGTAAGAACAGTTTTACCCTGGGAAGGAAAGCTGGGGAGAGACAGAAGGAACTGGAGCTGTTTCCTAAGTGTCTTTAGATGTGAGAGGAAGAAGCTGTAGCCGATTGTGCTTTACTCGGGATCACACTGGGGACAGAAGGACTTGGCACCAAGTGTACTTGTTCTTTGAGGCCAGGAGTGTGGTACCAGCCTGCAAGGGCCAGCAAATGCTGTCCTACAGGGCTCAGAGGTCTTGCAGGCATCCCTGGAGCCTAGCTGCAGTAGCACTGCATGAGTGGAAGGATGTCTAGGTACTCACTGGCCCTGGGCTTATTGCCTGGGAGCCTGAGCAGGTCCCAGAGCCTTTTGGAATCCCAGAGGTTTCAAAAGGTGGTTAAGGAGCTGAGTTACAGGCTCTCTGTGCCTTGGTTTGCCAGTTGGGCTTAACAGCATGGCTGGGTCTCTTCGGGTGGCTGTGAAGCACTCAGCTCTGCAGGCTTCATGTGGCTGAGCCACTGGTGGCTGGTGGTGGCTGATTGCAGCGTGAGGGTTTTCCAGGCTGCTGCCTTCCCAACAGAAGTTGCAGTCATCCAAGCTTCCATCCATCTGTTCAAAATATCATGCCCAGGTTTTTCTCCTTCCACTCAAAAAGGAATCTTGGGTGGTGTGGCTATGTTTCTGAGATGAGCCCAATGATCTGTTTATGGAGCAAACACAGGTGAAGCAGCACTGTTTTGTCGTAGCCCCTGAGCTGCCCTTGGAGGCAGCACGGGCAGGCTGCTCTTAAACCACGCTCCCAGCAGCGTCTGCTGCTGTACCATGTTGCCCACTGGAGCTGCCTTCTGGGAGCCCCATGCACAGAGCCCCCCACCAGCACCAAAGCTGATGTACCAGTTATGTGAAGAAGAGGTAACAGAAACATCCAGCTGTTGGTCTCAGGATTGCTCCTCAGGCACCTCTGCCTCCCAGGCTGGGAGTCTGACTGGAGCACGCAGCTTCCTG